CATAAATGGAGTGTATATATATATATATATATATATATATATATAATATAATATAATTTTTCTGATATATATATCAGAAAAATTTGTTCTTTTCCGCCATATTCAAACTTATAAAAAGTTACTCTCGACAGCAAATATTTTCGATAGTTTTTAGAATTTTAATTTACATTAATATTGAGAAATTTCGAAATATAACAACGGTAATTTGCAAAGAAATATTAAACAATAAAACAGCGATAAGAAGATGTAATATACGTTAAGATTTTTGTTTTACATTTCTATTCTATCATTTTCATTGTATATTAGAATTGTTGAATCGACGATATAAGGGGTGTTTTTACAATAGAGAATAATAATAAAAGAACGATCATTTTAAGCAGGTCAAAACTAAGAAACAGGGGGGATGGTAGCACCTCCTGAAGTCGTTTTATTAGCGGGGAAGAAAAATATGCTCCATTTAGCGACAGTTGCCGCTACGATACTCATTGCCGAGGAAACCATGTGCATGCAATGTTGCAGTCTCGGGCGTATTCGTTGAAGATTTTAATTCCTACTTCGAGGAGGCTCTGACGGGTCCTTCCACCTCTCGATCTACGCCACTGCTTGAATACTCGGATTTCACGACATGTTTACAAAGATCCTAGAGATAAGTTGAGAATGGCCGCCGCAGCCCATGCCTCCTCCATGGGTGTAAGGTGACAGCTGCCTGCGCCTGCGTTACATGCATACAGGGTGTTCGAGAATTAGCCTGCCGTGTAACGAATGATTTATGAATATTACGACATAATTAAGGATCGTACGACCGTGAAGTCGCGCGAAACTTATTTCTATTTCTCAAAAAAAGATGTGGACGACAAACGAAAAGGTAACTATGCCGTGAAATAACGATTTCTAATTCTTGGGTTGATGGATTGGGATCCTATAGAAAATAAAGGAAATTTTGAAAATCAATTTTCAGTTTTGGTTCGGAATTAAATTATCATAATTACCGAGAGAGAGAGATGATAGGGAATAATTGATGGTTGAACGATACGTTCCATTGGTTGCGTATATCGGTTATGTTTTTATTGTTTATGCTATTTTCGGGATTTCTGGGTCGTATAGCAATAAAATATCTCGACTTCTTAACTGTGGGACTCCGAGAGCAATAAATTCAGCCGACAACAGGAATGACACTTTCGACACGGCACACCCCGTATAAGGCAGTATGCGTTTACGTATACACCTATCCGGACGAATCTCCTTTGACGTGTTGGTGTGTGATCCCTACCCTCACCTACACATAGACGCAAAACTGAGAGAGAGAGAGAGAGAGAGAGGGAGAGAGCGAGAGAGAGAGAGAGAGAGAGAGAGAGAGATCTCGCTTACTTAGCTGGGGCTGAACTCACCCGCAGGATTTCTACACATATGTCCATTTGCTTTAACAGGATCTTACCGTGAAGATGTATGGTTTGACAGGAAACAAAAGAACACCTTTTCCACGTAAAAAGGAGGGACTTTCACTTTTTTACCGGATATTGTTAAATTGGTCGGGTATGGTCGATCGATATGAATTCTAATTCACGGTGTTAAATTGGAGCACCCGACCAACGCAAATCTAATATTGTAAATATATAAATTTATATAAATTTAAAATATATGTAAATTTTTAATATTTATGAATGCGTTCGCATGATCTCAAGTCATATATTTATTTATCTCTATCCTGTGTATATTATTTTATATAATATAAAAGATACTTTCATTCTATTCTTCGATCGTTTCAATTCATTCTAATTCTTTGAAAATTAATATTATTTAAGTCACATGAAAATACGGTTATCAAATATGTTCATCTATTTGTGAAATATAAAATGCGCAAGTATCGCAAA